TTTTGTTCCACATTGTTCTCCCTCTCTATCCAGGATCTCCTACATAGATCCCCCTCTGAGTAGCTGACAGTGGTAGCTGGGCACCATCTAGTTCTGGTCTCATAGTTGTATAGGCTGAGGATTGAATGGTGTACCAGTTGCAAAGACTAATTGTTTCCATGAATCTTTGGTTTTCTTCATTCTTCTTTGCTCTGGATGAGGAGAGACCCATTGTTGGATCTAGATGGCTGCTTGCAAGCTTTTAAGATCCCAGTTGTTACTTGACAAAGTACGAAGTGGAACAATGTTTTGTGCAGTATGTTATGGCAGGCTGATTTTTGCAGTCTCCTAGCATCCTGTTCCTTTTTCCTTCTCTTATCATGGTTTGTGATTTTATTTTCACTTGTGCTATTCTTTGGCTCTCTTTTACGATTATGTGTCTCTTCTACTACTCTCCAAGTTCTATAAAGGTGGAAGAAAGGGAGCTGTGCTCTTGGTACAATACTGTCACTACAATGTTCTCCAATACCCTGTACAGGGCCTGGAGATACAGTGAGTGATATGAAGAGTTATTGCTCAAGGGGTGCTGAGTTTCTGTGAAGGGTGATCAAAATAATTGAAACAGGTGATGGCTGCACAACATGGTGGATACACTGTCATTGAATTGTACATGTAAAAATGGTCAAAATGGCAAATGCTTTGTTGTATGTATCTTGCTACAATATTTTAAAACATGCACATCTGGCCACATCACTTTCTGGTTAAAAATTCTCCAATGACTGAATGGGTTGACTTTGATAAAACCCAGTCAAGGTCAACAGGTTCCCTCTGCCTCTCCACCCACACATTCTCCCACTCACTCCCCTGGTTGCTCACACATACTTGTTTCATTTCTGATTCTCAAGCACATCTTGCTATTTCCTGCCTCAAGTCCTTCCTCTTGGAAATTCGGATTAGTTTTTCATCCTTTAGGTCTCAGCTCAAATGTCACCTCCTTCCAGAGCCTTCCCTGACCACCCCATAGGGAAGTGTTACCACTGCTCTCCTGCCAACACTTATTTTCAATCATGCACCTGGTTTCATTTTCTTCAGAGTTGAAATTTCCTTGTACATCTGATGTTAACATAGGTAAATACTTGAGCACTTAAACATAAGCACTTTTCATACGTTAACTTGTGAGGTGGTACGCTGCTTAATGCATATCAACTGGCTCTCCAAAGCAAAATGCCCTAATTTGTAGTGTTTGCTGATTCTGTAAACACTACCACCAGGGCGGATTACAAACTACCAACCAGTCACTGAATGCCTATTTGAGGCGAGTGGCATACATTTTCAGTATTTATGCCAAGAGTTTGTGGTAAGTAATCTCAAGAGCACACATAAAACTGTGAAACTAATAAAATAATGATGAAATAATGAGTTTTGGGTATTCATTGCCTTCGTTAATATAATTTAAATGTAAACTTATATCTCTTAATTTTTGATATTGGTTGTGTTTTAATAACCGACTAGCAAAATCTCTATACACATTTTTCAACCGTCTAAAGTAAGCCTGTACCAGCCAACTCCAGTACAATTCAAGGTTATAAAGCTAGTAAGTTTGTCTACTACTCCAAAATATGTACTCAGAATACAATATAACACCATAGCATAAAACTGGAGTTCAATAAACAATTGCAGAATAAATGAATGAATCAATTTTAAGGGAAACATTTTACAAGAAATAGACACATAACAGTGAACTAGCTTTTAAATTCGCACACAATTCCAGGAAGAAAATTGTTCTCCATCCGCTTTCAGCTCTATTAGCTCCCGCGCGGCTTCACACTTCACCAATTTTCGAAGGCGGCGTCACCAAATAGTTTAAAAAAACTTGAGCCGCCGCGCTTCCCGTCGTCCCGGCCGGCCTCGCCGCAATGCTTCCTGGGAATGTTAGTCTCCCAGTGTGGGTGCTTTAGCAGCAGCTGCGGCTGGCGCCGAACCGCAGGACTACAGGAGGTGGGGCGTAGGCTGCGAGGCTGTTCCGCCTCGCTTTTTCCTCCCCGCCTGCGCGCCCGCCCCAGCTATCATGGCGGCTCCCTTGGCCCTGGTGCTGGTGGTAGCTGTGACCGTGCGGGCGGCCTTGTTCCGGTCCAGCCTCGCCGAGTTCATTTCTGAGCGGGTGGAGGTGGTGTCCCCACTTAGCTCTTGGAAGAGAGGTGAGGCCACTGGCTCGAGTAGGCGGCCAGGCCCCGCTTGTGCTGTCTCTCCTTCTGTGAATGGGAGGCTGGAGCAGCGGCCTCAAGCGTGCGATTTTGAGGGAACTGATCCCCAACTGGGGTCATTAGCGAGGGCGGGGCTGCTGAGGGGAGAGTGTGTGGGGCGGGATTGTGAGGCGAAGGTTCTGGGGGCCAAACCACCTGAGGGGTGGGGCTCTGAGGGGGCGTGTCCCGTTGAGGGTCCAGAGTTTAGGGGCGTGGCCCATGGAAGGATTGGTTTGGAGGAGGTGGTTCTGGGTGGAGTGGGATTTTCAGAGGTGGTTGGTATTTGACGCGGAATCGCCAATCCCTGAGATAGGGGATGAGATGCGAGTCCGGCCGGGTTGAAGGGGACAAGGCTTACCTAAACTAGGGAAGTATGATGAATGTGTTTAGCCAACTCTTCTCACTCTGGAGTTTGCAATGCAGTTTTTCCTGTTGTTCCTTATTTCTTTAAATTCTTCATCAAACATTGTTTTATACTAGTATTTACAATGAGACACAGCTTGGGTTGGAGGAGCCACAGGCTGGTGGGGAAACATACAAGCAGATAGAATCATGTAACAAAAGTGTACTTCCTGTGTCCACCCGGTTCTTTCTTGGCGTCATTGACCCTGAATAAACTGTCTCTTCCAGTTTCCTAAAGATGCAGAATTTGAGCTGACTCTTGAAGGATGTAGGGCTGGGAAAAGGAGATTAGATGGAAGGGGAGTTCTAGGTAGCAGAAGATAAACAGGATAAAGAAGTGTTCAAGGACGGGAAACATCTGCCTGGTGTAAGTGAGTAATTGGGTGGGGTTATGTTGGAGCCAGAATTAGAAACTCAAAACAAACAAATAAAACCCAAAAAACTTTTTACTTAAGTATAATACACGTAGGAGCTCTGATAGTGTAGTGCCTAAGGCACTTGACTGCTAACCAGAAGGCTGGTGGTTCAAACCCACCAGCCGCTCCTTGGAAGGAAGGTTGAACAATCTACTTCTGTACTGATACTGCCTCAGAAACCCATAGAAAGGGTCGCTGTGGTCCGACTCCACAGCACTTAACAACAACAACATAATATACATGCAATGCATATGTAATGAGTGTAGAGTTCAATGAATTTTTGTACTGAACATGAGCAGGTCAAGAATCAGAACATTACCAGCACCCCAGAAGTCCCCTTCATGTCATTGAATTTTGATGTTATCCTATAGTCCTTTTGGAATGGGGGATGGCTTATTAAATGGGTGTTTTATGAATAGAGCTAAGGTCTTTTAAATAATATATTGGTAAGCCTTTTATATTGTTGTTGTTGTTATGTGCCATCAAGTCGGCCCCAACTCATAGTGAGCCCTCCTTGGGTTTCTGAGGCAGTATCACTACAGAAGTAGATTGCCAACCTTCCTTCCGAGGAGTGGCTGGTGGGTTTGAACTGCCAGCCTTCTGGTTAGCAGTCAAGTGTCTTAGGCACTATGCTACCAGAGCTCCTAGCCTTTTATATGCTCTTTCTCATTTAATCTTCACAGTAATTCTGTGAGATAGATACTGTTATTTTTTCCATTTTACAGTCTAGGAAACTGAGATTTAGAGAAATAAGCGGCTTGCCCAGGTTTCTCAGTAATTCATACTAAGAGATTGGACTTGATATCTTTGAATATAATTATTTACTGGACTGAAATTAAACCACTTTATTCCTGCTTTCTTCTGGGTACCAGAAAACCTAAGGCAGTGTTAGGCACTCCTCTCTCTATTAAGAGTACTGCTGTTGGGTGCCGTTTAGTCGATTCCAACTCACAGTGACTCCATGTGACGGAGTAGAATTGCCCTATAGGGTTTTCTTGGCTGTAATGTCGATGGAAGCAGGTTGCCAGGGCTTTCTCTAGCAGAGCTGCTGGATGAATTTGAACTGCCAGCCTTTTGTTTGTACACCCAGGAACTCTTATATACCCTTATTAGCCCCATTTTATAGATGAGAAAATTGATATACAGAGAGATTAAGTCATCTGCCCAAGGTCACATAACTAGTAATGTCTTAAGTGAAGAGCTGGCAGGGTTTGGGTATGGCTGTTCCATTAGGGTCCATTCTGTACCATCTTGTATAGAAGTCTGTTAGTAATAATGGAACCTTTTTGCTATATTTTGGTCTTCGGCCTTTGACCTCAAAGGTTAGGAATTAGTATGGATTTAATTTCTTGAGTTTAGGGCAGAGCTCAAGCTATTGGTGCTTATCTGGAAACCCATCTCTAATGAGAGTCAAGGTCAGGTCAGTAGCAACACTTCTGATACCACTACTTTTTTTTTTTTTTAAATCTTTTATTGTATAATAACATATAGAATCAGAAAACTACACAGAACAAATGTACTGCTCAGTGAATTATAAAGTGAACATTTGTAGCCATCATCCAAGTCAAAAATCAGAACTTTCCTACCCATTCCAGAAGCCTCTTCCATTTGCTCCATCCTAGCTATTGCCCTCTCCCTTTCTCATAAGTAACCATTTTCCTGACTTTTAAGTAATGATGTCTGCATTTTAAAAAAGTTTAATCACACAATGAATATTCCTAAACACTGTAGTTTAGTCTTTCCCTTAAACAATGTTTTTATGTCTTTTAAATCTCTTAAAAATATGGTCTCTGTCCATCTCTGTCTCTTTCTTTCCTTTAGTATTTTTCTGTTGAAAAACCCAGACCATTTGACTTGTAGAGTCTCTTTTCCTGACTGTATATTCATGGTACAGTTCGACATGTTCCTCTGCTCTCTGCATTGCCTGCAGGTTTGTAGCTGGATCCAGAGACTGGATACTACTACCTTTTTTGTAAACTTTGAAATAAATTTAGACTTACAGGAGAGTTGCGAAGACAGTACGGAGAGATCCCATGTATACTTCATCAATTTCCCTTAATGTTAACATCTTACATAACTGTAGTAAAATGATCAGAATTGAAAGAATAACATTGATATAGTTGTTGTTGTTATGTGCTGTTGAGTTGGCCCCGACTCATAGTGACCCCTCCTTGGGTTTCCGAGGCAGTATCACTACAGAAGTAGATTGCCCCATCTTCCTTCCGAGGAATGGCTGGTGGGTTTGAACCTGCAGCCTTCTGGTTAGCAGTCAAGTGCCTTTAGGTACTATGCTACCCCAGAGCTCCTCATTGATATAGTACTGTTAATTAAACTATAGTTACTTGGATTTTACCAGTTTTTTTTCACTGTTGTCCTTTTTCTGTTCCCATTTTGCGTATACTGTCATATCTCCTTATCTTCTCTGATCTGGGACAATTCTACAGCCCTTCCTTCTCTTTTATGACTTTGACACTTTTGAAGAGTGCTTGTCAGATAATTTTGTAGACTTATTCTTCAAATTGGGTTTGTCTGATATTTTCTTATGGTTAGATTGAGGTAACTGATTTTGGGGAAGAGTATCACTGAGATGATGTACCCTTCTCAGTGTAATATATTAGGAGGAGCTCTGGTAGCATAGTGCCTAAAGGCACTTGACTGCTAACCTAATGTTGGTCATTAGGTCTCATTTAGTTGATTGTTTTAAGGAGTATATACTGGTGGGTGATACTGTTTTCGAGGTGCACATGCTCGTGGGTGATGTTATTGATTTTATGAGCCACTCTGTCTTTTGACTGATAGATGACCCCAGGGAATGGTTTGAGTTTCAAGTTCAAAGGATGCCCCAGGGCAATAGTCTTCTGAGTTCCTCTGCTCTTACTGGTTCAGTAAGTCTGGCCTCTTTTAGGCATTTGAATTTTGTTTCACAATTTTTTTCCTCCCATTCTCTCCAGAACCATCTTTTGTGTCCCTATTCAGAATGGTTGCCAATAGTAGCCAGGCACCATCTAGTTTTCTAGTCTCAATGTAGGTAAAGTCATGGTTTATGTAGACTACTGTCCTATAGACTAATTTCCTCTTTGAGTCTTTGGTTTCCTTCTTTCTCTTTTGCTCCAGATGTATAGAGATCCATAGTTGTGTCTTAGATGGCTGGTCACAAGCTTTTAAGACCCTAGATACTACTCACCAAACGAGGGTGTAGAACATTATCTTTATGAGCTATTTATGCCAGTTGACCAAGTTTCCCCCCAAGACTGTGGTCCTAAACTCTCAAACCCAGTAACCCAATCCCGTGAGGTGTTGATTTTGTCTAGGAAATATTCATAACTGGTTTGGTTTGGGTGCCTTCTGTGTGCTTTATTTTATAATATGAATATTTATGCAGCATACACAAACATGGATATGCATGTCCCTATAGAAACACTTATACATGCATACCCATATATTCATATGTGTTTACCTGTACATATAGAAGTGTATGTATTTGCCTATATAGCCACACATAGTTTTTGGTTGTTATTACTGTTTTTTCAAAAGTGTATAAGTTGTCACTTTTACCATAATTGTTCCTTATTCTTGTGTACTTCTTAATATCATCTTTTACCTTGGTCAAGTTGTACTGACTTCACGCTTACTAACCATTGCTTCCCAAATCCAAACCAAACTCATTGCCATCAGCTCGATTCGACTCATAGTGACCCCTCCTTGGGTTTCTGAGGTGGTACCATTACAGAAGTAGATTGCCCAGTCTTCCTTCCGAGAAGTGGCTGGTGGATTTGAACCACCAGCTTTCTGGTTAGCAGTCAAATGCCTTAGGCACTGTGCCACCAGTGCTCCCACTGTTGCTTTACTTATCACCAAAACTAGCAAGTGACTACTACCTAGAAAGTGATTCCCCCTCCTACATCCTTCCCATCCCTGTTAACCATCAAAGAATGTTGCTTTCTGTATGTATACCTATTCTTCTACTTTTATAATAGATCATACAGTATTTGTCCTTTTGTGATTGACTTATTTCACTTAGCATAATGTCCTCCAGATTCATCCACATTATAGTATATTTTGAGAATTAACATTATCCTTTATGGCTACCTAGTGTTTCATTGTGTGTATGTACCATAGTTTTTTTATTCATTCATC